CTTGCCAAGTTGCCCAGGCGGGTCTTGAACCTGTGGGCTCAGGCAATCCACTCACCTCAGCCTCCCAAAGCATGGGATTACAGGAAGAGCCACCGAGCCCGGCTGGAAAAGAGCATTCTTACCAGAGGTAACAGACATTGCCAGGGCCCTATGGAAAGAGTGAACCTGGACTGTTTGAGAAACAACAAGAAGGCCACAGCTGGAGCAAAATGAGAAGAGCAGGTGAGAGCTCAGAGATATAATGAAGAACCAGAAGATGTCAGGCGTTTGTAAGGGCTTTGGCTCTGGCTCTGAGAAGAATAAGGTGTCTTTGCAGGATTTTGACCAGAGAAGTACTAGAATTTGATTTGTGTTTTTAAACGATCACTTTTGTGTCTGGGTTGAGAATGCACCACCATAAGAGAGCAAGAGTGAAAGCAGAGAGGCATATTAGAAGGTTGTTGCAGTTATTCAGTTGAGAGATGATGGTGGGTTAGACCTTATGTGTACTAATGGAGAAGGTGAGAAGTGATTGGATTTTGGATGCATTTTGAGGTAGAGCCAACATGATTTCCTTATGAACTGGATGCGTAGTGGGAAAGAAAGAGAGGAATTAAAGGTGATGTCAAGGTTTTCAGTCCAAGCAGATATAAAGTTGCCATTATTCAAAGTGAGGATGGCTGTAGGAGGAGTAGGCTTTGGAGAACAGATTAGGAGTTCTGTCTGCAACATTTTGAGTTTGAAATTTATGTTAGACATCTGAGTGGGGGTGCTGAGTAGGCAATTTTATATATCAGACTGGAGTTTTGAATACAGACCTGACCTTGGAAGTTATCAATATGAAAATGTTTTTCTAGCTATTGGACTGCAGGAGATCCCCCAAGTGAGTATAGAGAGAAATGAAAAGAACAGAGGCTAAGCCTTGGGGAACTCCTTTTCGAGTTTGGGAGAAGAGGAGGAGCTAGTAAAAGAGACTGAGGAGCAGCAGCCAGTGAGGTCAGAGATAAAGCAGGAGAGTATGATGTCCTGGGAGCCAAGGGAAGAAAGGAACCAATGAGGAGTGATTCATCAGCAGTATTCAATGCTGCTGATAGGTTAAGTAAGATGAGGGCTAAAAATTAGTAACTGAATTGAACAATGTGAAGTCACATGTGACCTTGACAAGAGCAATTTCAGCAGAGTAGTGGAGGTAGACTCCTGATTGGAATGTGTCCAAGAGAGAGAATGGAAGGAATAAACTCACAAACAGTGAATAGAGACCACTACTACAAGAGGGTGGGAGAGTAGTCAAACCAGATATCTGGGGGAAGAACTTTCTTTACAGATGGAACAGACATTACAAAGGCTATAAGATAACAGTGAGTGTAGCTTATTTGAAAAACAGCAGGGAGGCCACAGCTGGGGCAGACTGAGTGAGGAATAGAACAGGCAGAGAAAGAGGGAGATAGAAAAGGATGGCCATCTGGGGCTCCTTCTTGACACCAGACTGATGTAGGTAGAAGGCCTAGGGGAGTATAATCTTAGAACAGAAATATTTGTTCAAATGATGCCTTATATTGCATATGAAAACATATATCACATATATCTGTAACAGAGATTTTCATAAAAGGAAAGAAATGGTGTAATGACAGGTGAAGAATGTGGAGCCAAAAGAATATATATATATATATATATATATATATATATATATATATATATATTGTGTGTGTGTTATACAATAAAGATGAGAAATAAAAGTGTGATCATATCCTGATTGAAGTCCAGTAGAGGGCACAGCATTGATAATGCTACAGATGAGAAGAAGGAAAAAGATAGTGATATTGTTGAGTGGATGTGAGAGAAAGAGATCTAGTTAGGAGAGGGGTTAGTTGTAAGGGGAGTCTGGAAACATCATTGTATGTATTAGTTTTCTAGATGGCTTAAACAGCAGAAAGGCTTTTTTCCTTGGCTTGCAGATGGCTGTTTTCTCTCTGTGTCTTCAAATGGTCATTCCTCCATCTGTGTTGTTTGTGTCCACCAGTCATATTGGATTAGGGTCCACCTTAATGACCTAATTTTGACTTAATTAAATCACATTCTGAGGTACTCGGGTTTAGGACTTCAACATATGAATTTTGAGGGGACACAATTTAGACCATAACAATCATGTATAATATCAACAAGAAGATCATGTATACAGATGCAGGTGCAGGTAGGTAAAGTGATGTGGTGGCAGGAATCAGTAGAAGTTCTCTTCCATGGCTTTGATTTTCTAGCAAAATAAGAAGCAGTAAAAGTGTTAGGATGTGGAGGCAGTTTGGGAGTTTCAGGAGAAATAAATTACAAAACAGTAACTTCGGAAAATCATAAAGTTAAGGGACAGGAAAGGAAACCTGTAGAGTTATTGTCTGGCACTAAAGATCTGATTGAGGTTCATCGTCATAAAGTTAAACTGAAATTAGTCATATAGTTGTGTATTTTCTTCTAGCTAGTTTTAGCTGTGTGGGTGCAGGCTCACGGGTATGTAGTTGAACTTAGCCAGGGCTATGATTCTGCCAAGGAAACAATACAAAGTGAGAGAGGGGCAGGGTAGTGGAGAGATGTGTAAAGGAGTGATTGTAAAGACTGAGCATGACCTTTGAGCTAGGGAAGGAGAGGAGAGAAGACAATAAGGGAATAAGAAATAGTGAAAATCTGGCAAAACCCATGAATTAGCGATTCTGGTAAAGATGAAGGGTTGTGAGGCCAGGGTACCAAAGTGAATTATCTGGAGAGGAGAGAATGACCACAAATAGTTTTTTTTTCCTTGTTTTAATTTTTATTTTAAAATTGTGGGGTACCATTCAGGGTTAGGTATACAAATATTCACTGTGCAGGTAACCCTGTTGATGAGGTGTGCCCCCTCTTTCCCAGGCAAATATCGATTCCTGTCAATCCCCACCTCCCCAGCAGGTTCCTGCTACTGTCAATCCCTTTCTTATAATATTACAGTAGTTGTTGTTCAAGGTCAGCTCTTTGTTTCTGTGAGAGACCACTCAGTAATATAGGTATGCAAACTGCTTCTGAGATTCTTCTGTAAAGGAGGTGTTTAGGGTAACTTCGACTGGTGGAGGCATGCTCAGGATTTCCAGCTGCATGTGGGCCTCTCCACTCCGCTTCAGGCTCCAGACGTGCCCTACTCTACCATGGTGGGGCCAGGCGCTTGAGAGCTCTGTCTTCCAATTTATGGGCTCTCCTATTATCCCTTCTGGTCAAACTCAGGATGTTCACAGGGTACCAGGTATTTCATCACGTCCACAGCCATGCACCTCTGAGCTTAATCTCCTTGCCTCTCTCTTTGCAGGGAAAACGTGGAGAAATAAGACTCAACTCTGTTTGATTTGTCCCATTCTGCTGAAGTACTGGGTGTAATCCTAATTAGCTGTCCCTTCTTGCAGCGTTTACAAACTAGCGCCACAGCGAGCTATTATGAAACATGTAATTACTTCTGATTAGATTAAATCCCCTTCTTCTCTTACTGTAGTGCCTTAATGTCCTGTCTTTGAGCATCTAAAATGCAAAGAAACTAGTACAATTTATACCACCCTTTTTTGTGTACTGTTCCCCATCTCCCAAGAAATATGCCCCAAGAGTGAAGATGCTCAAGTAGTGCTATCTCCTGTTACAAAATCATTAACCAGTTAAACCCAATCTTCATTTATTTCTTCTGTCTCTAGCTACTCTTGTGCTTCTGTCACCTCTGTTTTACTTTTGCTGTGATTTTAACAATCAGACATATTGCCTCAGGGTTTCTAGAGTATCTTTGTTTCTAGTGTATTTTGATTCAATGGCATTTGCTTCCTATCAGAAATAGGCTAATGATGGGGAATTGAAAATAGTCTAATAAAAACATGACTTTTATTTCTATTTATTTATTTATTTATTTATTTATTTATGTTGCTGTTTTAGTTGGAGTCTCACTCTGTCGCCTGGGCTGAAATGCAGTGGCACACTTCAGGCCACTGCAGCCTCTACCTGCTGGGCTCAGGCGATCCTTCTGCCTCAGCCTTCTAAGAAAACATGACTTTTCTAAGATCTGTGAATATTTTTCCTTTGAGATTCAGTAAGTAAGATATACATTGTCATTAAATGTAAAAATTTTTTATTGTGATCATATAGGCTGATGATAGTTCTGCCAGGAAAGTTTTTGTAAAATTTTTTTTTCAGACTTTCTTTTAGTCAAGATGAGTGATAAACCAGACTTATCACAAATGGAGAAATTTGACAGGTCAAAACTGAAGAAAACTAATACTGAAGAAAAAAAGATACTCTTCCTTCAAAGGGAGGTTTTTTTTTTTTTCTTTCTTTTCTTTTTTTTTTTTTTT